GCAAGAATGAATGTATTATTTAATGTTCGAAGAGAAACGTCTATTTACCTTTATTGTAATGCGTTCAATAATGTCATTTTTGAACGTCAAAATGGGATAAAGTCTTGAAACAGGAAAATACCGGTAAAAACCGATCAATTTATATTCCAGTTCCAGTTCTGCCTGTCACATTTCTATGAAATATGAATTTCGTTCCGGTTCCGGTCCGCAAAAAAAAAAAACGGTTCCGTCCCGGTTTTCGGTTCAATATCGTTCCGGTCCGGATCCATGGTTCAAAACAATCGCATAGTTTATCAATCAATGGACGTGTATGATATCCTTGGATGGAGGCAGCGCGGCTCAAGGTTGTTTGAGAGAGGTAGGTTGCCTGGATAACTTTATGACGTCATCTGGGGTGCCTCAACATAATGCGAAATCTTCATCAGTCAACTTTGCCCTCATTTGACCGACTTCGCATCTTTTACCGTTTCCGAGATTCCAAATGGAGAGCATCGAATTTTAATCACCCTGTATGTTCGTCTGGCTGAGGGTAAGAAATGTCGAAACTCTCTGACTACTGAGAAAACATCTTTTAATAGCTAGCCAAGTAACATGTAAAGTCTGTTTTTTTTTTAAAGATAATTCCCCAAGTCAAAAATTTAGTAACTATGTTGGCAATACAAGCCTTTTCTACATCAAAAATTTGAAAGCATTGACAATTTTACATTGTATTGCCAACATAATGACATTTTGACTTTTATCTTTAAAAAAAAAACAGATTTTATAAAATTCAGCTTTTATAATATGACGTAAGTGCATTTACATTTTATACACTTTTGCTACCGGTTATCTGCCAAAGCGACGATGACACAAAGTACATAGTATCCCATCATTTCTACCTGTATTGAACGCATACACTGAAGAACTTTCAGGGCGAATTCTCATGAGCGTAAGTTGACATTTCTGGCGTAATCACGTGATAATTATGGTGTAATTTGATTGGTAAAATCTCCAACATGTCAAATATTTTTCCAATAAAACCCAACCATTTTATCACGTGATTACGCCAGAAATGTCAACTTACGCTCATGAGAATTCGCCCTCAGGCTCAGCTTTTATAAAATAACGTAGGTCTGGCAGTCACGGGCTCTTAGACTGTATTTTGAATATTTCTTATAAAAGTTATAAATAAGAAATATTTTATTTGATTTGGATTGGATTCCTATTGTTCTAAAGGAGGGCTTATTACCTTATCGATACGAGATACCGATAGGCCCTCGATGATAGTGCATATCTATACGAATTTGTCATATCGATATGTATCAATAAGCATCTTGGAAAAAAAACATTTAACGTCATTTGTTAAACGGTCTCTGGTTAAACGCAAATGGTTTTAAATGATCAGATGGGACTCTGTAAAAAATAGAGATGTTTTCTCTAGCTCCTATTGGCGTCCCCTCTATTGATTTCGAAAAGAGAGAAGAAGATAGCATAGCAAGTACCATAGCGATGGGTATATAACGATCTCAATTCGTTACAGAGCTCCAGCTCCTTGATATTTTTTCTATTCCAGGCTCTTGAACTTTCTGCACCTATTTGGACAAATTTAAGAGTGAATAGAAAAAAGCTTGAGCTGAGAAATTCAAATATAGAGAGAACAAATTTTAGAGGAAATAAGAGAAAAAGGGCGCTCGAAATTTCTCTATTTAGAAATATTTAAATGAAATAGTTATTTATACACCAAGTGAGTTAAATTAATGTTTATTCATGAGAAGAAAGTTTAACCCACGAGCCTTAGCGAGTGGGTTAATTTTCTTCGAATGAATAAACATTTTAACTCACGTGATGTATACAAAATTTTATACCATTTTGTGGAAATTTAAAAAATAAAGTACAAGGTAAATGCCGAGAGTGAGTTAAAAATATTTTAAATCACTGAGATGTAAGATTTTTAGTTGGGCAGAGTGACTTAAAATGCCGAGAGTGAGTTAAAAACTTTTTAAGTCACTGAGGTGATAAACGTCTACTTACCTTTATTGTTATGCGTTCAATAATGTCAGTTTTAAACGTCAAAATGGGATAAACGAAATTTAGAAGACTAGAGAAGATATTCAAGAAAAATTGAAAAAAAAATTGGTGTATAAGAATGACATTCATGATTTTCTTATTCCACTGACGTCACATCCATAACCTACATAACCTCACTTTCGATGGGGGGGACAAAGAAAGCGTTTATATTTATACCAATGACATTGACATGACAATGAAAATCCAGGTATTCTTCCGATCTGAACAAACTGCTTCGGACATTTCCATTACATTATATGGACATTTCCAGTACCATTTGTACCCGAGACTATATAGGGTGTAAATGTCTATATTTTCACAAAAACCGCTTTTTCTGCGATTGACAAGAAATGTCAACATTTTTGACCGGTTGACACGTCGCAAAAATGTTTCAATAGTTGCTAAGGAATCAATGAATAACAATACGGAAATCACTTTTCCGGCCTAGGCCGGGAAAGTGATTCTCGTACTGCTGAAAAATTGGAACAAAAAGACAAACATTTAACAGATATTGAACCCATCGCAGAAAAAATAGTATGTGTATTTCGGTGGAAAAGCACATTCACGACCTTCGGTGTCAACTTACACCGTCGGCCGAGAATGTGTAATTTTTCCACCTAAATACACAATATACTATTGAGGGTGGTTTAAGGAGGTAAAACTAATAATTGCGATTCATCGAAAAAAGGGTTTTTTGTGAAAATATGGACATTTTCACCCTATAGTCTCGGGCACAAATGGTACTGGAACTTGTAGGTAGTACCAACATACACCGTTTAGGGCACCTAAAAAGATTTGCAGATAACTTTGAGAGTGGTTTAAGGAGGTAAATAATTAATAATTGCAATTTATCAAAAAAAGTAATTTGCAAGCCAAGTGAGATTCCCCAAACGATATACCATCAGCATATTTTGGTACTGCCTATAATTTCCAGTAGTGTTTGTGCCCCAGACTAGGGTGGAAATGTCCATATTTTCACAAAAACCCTTTTTTCAATGAATCGCAATTATTAGTTTTACCCCCTTAAACCACCCCCAAAGGAGTTTGCAAGTCAAATGAGGTTTCCCAAACGATGTATTTTGGTACTGCCTATAATTTCCAGTACTGTTTGTGCCCGAGACTAGAGTGGAAATGTCCATATTTTCACAAAAGCCCTTTTTTCAATGATTCGCAATTATTAGTTTTACCCCCTTAAACCCACCTCCAAAGTAGTTTGCAAGTCAAGCGAGGTTCCCCAAACGATGTATTTTGGTACTGCCTATAACTTTCAGTACTGTTTGTGACCGAGACTATGGTGGAAATGTCCATATTTTTACAAGAGCACTTTTTTCAATAAATCGCAATTAATTGGTACCCCCTTTCACCTACTGCAAGGAAAACATGAAGTTTTCGAATATGTGGAAGGTAGAAGAAGTAGAAGCTCATATTATTATGAAAATATCCAAGCTGAGATTTCTTTGCTGAGATGCAATAATGGGACATAGCATATGTCAATAACAGACTAAGAATATGGTGTAAATTAGGTACTATTTCTATTACTAGCCGATATGGGCTGAGGTGAGACATATAAGCCTATTTTTGAACTGTTACTTATCAGTTGTTTTAGAACTGTTACCATAGACTAACTGTTACTTTTTGAGCGTTTCTTTTGGTTTAAGCACTATGGGAACTCACTATCAAGTTTTGTCTTGAATAATGACACCGAAGAGCACTAACTGTTTCAGCTGAGAGTTGATTCCAGAGGGCAAAAACTCTGTGTGGTATAGAAAAGTCTACCTACATACGGTGGAGTAGTTTTCTTTTGTAAGTTTGGGACTGTGACCCCTGAGTCTCTGGTCTATGTTCAAGGCATAGAGGTGTCTAACTATTTGAATGTTGTTGTGGAGTATTTGGTAGGTGAAGATAAGATCTTTTGTTTTCTATTTTGGAAATTCAGCAGTTTTTGTTGTTCTAGCCTTTCCTCCTATGTAGGTCTTCTTCTAGTTGCAATCGTGTTGCTTTTCTCTCTACACCTTCAAGGCTATTGCGGTCGCTAATGAAGTCTGGGTGCCAAGCCTGACTTGCATATTCTAGGATTGGCCTGCAGTATTATATGATGTACAGTTTTTGCATATTACTGTTACCTATATATGCTGACCAGGTCAAGTTTTTGATTATCAGAACTCCAAGGTCAGTGTGTTACTGAACACCTGTAGTGACCCACCTAGGATGTTTTCATTTTCTGGACTATTTTCCCCAAGATGGAGTACCACACATTTTTCCACATTAAGGGGTAGTTGCCAGTTCTCACGCCACTTCTCATTGGGTTTAAATCATTCTGGAGCAATTCAGAATTGTTGGCGGGATCATAGAGGGGAATTAAGTAATGAGGATAGCATAGTGAACAAACCACAAATAAATGAAAAGGGAGAGATGCTTAACACTGATGAAAAAAGCGATAGACCCAATCTATGATTCAGACCTAGGCAAGAATTTTTGAAGACAAGCTGTAACACCAGTGCAAAAATGTCAAATTTGCACGAGAGAAGTGAGAAGTACATATTTATCAGATATGCAAGGCTAGATTATTTGACGGAAATGAGAAGATATAGTGACAATCCACGGAAATGTCGTTTTCAGCGAAAATGCAGAGAAAAATCAAAGAAAATACCAGTAACAGAAGAAACAGAAAAATTACAGAATAATAAACGCTCTGAGAAGATAATTGACAGAAACAGTCACTATAATTAGTATTTAGCTTCTTTTTGTTAAACATTTATCCTATTAGTCCTCACTTATATTTTGAAATTTCTCTTAAAATAACTAATAATTAAAACTATAAAAGTAATAAATTGATAAGATGTTAAACTGCCTTGGCAACACACTTAATGGCTGGTAACCAACGTAGTAGTACCACCATTGGTACCACGATAGTTATTAATTTTTTAAACTTTTAATCCTGCTGTCAGTTCGGTCAGTAGTCGCGATTCGACCGCGGTACCATCAACACAATTCCGCAGGTTTCCGCGGTCGTTACTCTCATTTGGTACACAAACTAGTAGAAAGTTGTTTTTTTTTTCAAATTAGCACTATTCAGTTTGGAAAATTTTATAATTGGATATACCGTATAACTTTAGACGAAGTGTCCGGTGAGTTTTGTATTTTTGTTATGACCTAGTTTATTATTGGCAAAGTGGTAGAAGAACTCTGTGATGTGCAAAGTCCGACTTTTGATTTATACAATAAATAATATTGTAGCGGCAAAAGTAATTAAGTACACTTTTATTGTCATCAATTATAAAATGTTTGATTTTATCACCTAGGTACCTTCTTGAGTGAGTCAATTAACAAGTAGGTACCTATATTATAGTCAGTTTTAATTTCGCAAATAGAGGTCGCTCTTTTTGAGTCTTGTGTGTGGAGTGACAAAAAAATGTAGGTAATACTATTTGAGTATTAAGTAAACTTTACTTTAAAAGTTTTATCTCATCAGACTTCTTTCAATGCTTATAAGATGCTAGCTAAACTCTGATTTCAAAATTGCGTTATAAATCTTCAGGTCATATTAGGTCACATTTAGTAGCTGATAATGCAAAATGTAATATTATGTTTTGAGTCTATATCATTTTTAAGTAGGTTGATGATTATGCCATGCGCCTTATTATTTTGCTTGAAGGGATGTCTTAACTTTCTCTTTCTACAAACATTCCTCGTTCCTTTCAATTTGATTCAATTTTTGGGTTACAGGGATGATAAAAGTATATAATATAAATATTTGAACCAGCAAATTTTAAAATTGAGTTGACGTGTAGATACATCTATAGCTGACTTCAAATCGTTTCAAATACCTATAGAAATTGTTACGATTTCGTGAGTACCTAGAGACTAGTAGGTATTTAGTATTTAGGAAAACCTTGATTAGAATAATAGAGATAAATTTGAAAACTTTCACTGTTAAGAAACTATATTTTGGCACTTTTGCAATAATTATTGCAATTAGATGATATTAAATTTATTATTACTTTCGCTCCTTTGCGAAAGTTAAATGTTAATTGGTACTTATAACTACACAGGTAGTATTATACCTATTTGAGCATTAATATTAATTTATTAGGCTTTTTAAAACCACTGTTAATGATTCCCAATAATTAAGTTTTTTAAGTGCCAGGGAACTAATTACATTACAAACCTAATGGAAATATATATCTACCTAGAAAGCTCTGATGCAATTACAAAAAAATTAATTGATTGTCGTAAAAGTTTTATGAGTACTTTAACTTAGGTATAGGTACTTATATTATTTTGGCTGAAACTTTAAACCTCTGTTATTTCTGGACGAATAGAAAATTCGAGAATTTCGAAGCCTTCTTGGGTATTACAGGAGCCTCTATTGAAGACTTTACCAAAATACGATTTATTATTTCAGAAATGACGGTCACAATATTAGCAAAGCCGGAAATGGTGTCAGGAGATTCTTCGGACAACGAAACCTGCTGCACAGCCTACGACGATAGTTCGAAGGTAAATGGCCGATTTCTTATTCTTCTTACCTTAAACTTTCTACCAAACGGAATATGCTTATAGTTTATCGTGTGTAAACATTTTACTCGATACTCTTCCATCATCTGAATCTAGAGATAGGATAATTATTTTAGATTTTTAGCCTAGAATCTTAATGTGGCTTTTACCAGAATCTATTATTATAAATATAATAATCAAAAAAGCTTTTATTATTTGTTACAATAATTGAAGAATGCATCAAAGTATTTGACTGTATATTGTGTACTTACTATTGTTATTTAATCATATAGCCAATCTATGGCAAAGCAAAATTTTGCTCGAGTTTGTTACACTTGACTTACCAGCAACAATCAATTCGAAATTATGTAACCATAGGAAGCCAGTATATCTACCTATATTTTAAAAATATTAATGTATAGGATTACTTACAACAAGGAAATGCTATTGTATATACTGCAACCATGTATTTTTTAATAATTTCTGCCTTGTAAATGTGCAACCAGGATTTTAAATAATGTCTCTTCTTATTTTACAAGAATTTTTCTTCATTTATCTACATAGAATCATCTTATGACTTGTCTTCAGTAGGCCTAACTTTAAATATTTCTCCTCTAGAGAAGCATATTAAAGAATTTGTTAATAATAAGACTAAAATAAACCTTGGTAGATGTAATTAAAATAAATGCACGCTTTCACCGGACAAATGAGACAAGGTTGACCATTTCTTCAGTACCTAAGTATATTTAACAAGGAAAGTTAAGAAAATTGACCAAGCAGCAATTCAGAAATAAAATGAATTTATTGTACGTAATTGGCGATGCAAGAACCATGAAAATAATGAGTGATATTAAAAAAAAGTGACTCAACCCCCTAAATCTTAATAATTTTTAAACTTATTTTCCGAAAGCATGTTCTGATGCCTCATAAAACAAAGGTTAAACTAATGAATATTTATTTTTACACTGCACTTATCCATAAAATAAATAATTATCATTATCATTACACACATGCCTATGTGTGTTGGTTTAAAATTCAAAACATGTCGTTCACGTATCCAATCTTTACCTTCGAACCATGTAATGTCAATGTTAACAATTATTATTACGTAAATTTTTGGTATGTAATGTTTCAATGACCCTTTGTTTTGCTATTGAAACTATCAATAAGTAAAAATATTGATTTAGAATTTTTTTTCTAGGAAGTCGAACACAATCACGATCATACGGACAAACTTCTTGAAGATTTGTCCCAAAACGAAGATGATCAATCTCAAGGAACCTCCGAACCTGATGATTGTGATGAAATGTACTATCAAAAAGCTAGACAATTGTTATCGTTTGACGAGGCTCCTGAATATATGAAACATAATGCTTTTATTAGGAAAGGTTATAGGGGATTATTGGATACAGAATTATGCAAAGAAAGGTAAGAACTTTTCAGTTTTTGAGTTAATTTTAAACAAAATTGTATTTTAGTGTTTTCTGGTGGACGAACGAAACGATAAATATTTGGTCACACATATTTGGCTTTGTGCTTTTCATTAGCCTCACTGTATACGACTTGGCTATATTGAAAATTGAGGCTCCCGTTAGCGATAAAATTCTCGTAGGAGTTATTCTGTTTTTCTTTCAGGTAAGCAATAATAAGAAGTAAAGTTTTAACTCAAATATGTACTTAGTTTGTTATTTAACGTCTCATTTTCATTAGTGATGTTGGATTCTACCTGCTAATATGGTATCATAAGTACTCTGCCCTAATTAATTCACTTTTATTCGAGACAATAACAGAGCAATCACTATTACGACACTTCATTAGACTTACTTAACTAGTCACAAAACTAAATTACAATTCACTGTCTTACAACTCACGTTCCACTGGTAGTATAATTCGTGAAGTGATCTCTTCCTTCACAAAGACATCAGCTTTCTCCATCAGATCTGAAGATAAGAAACTTGACACAGTTGACACAGAATCCTTCTTCTTGCATCTTACTTGACTAGGATATTTGTTTCAATGAATTTCCTCCACTGTCCAGTTTTTTATATATTTCTTCGCGAACCATTTTTATTTTGCCTGTAAACATCTTCTCGGTTTCTATTTTTCCTTCTGACTTCTTGAATGTTCTGGAATAATTCAGCGAACCTGTCAATATATTGCTGTCTCTATTCCCAGTTCCCCTTTTTCATGTTTGTTTTTCTGTCGCTTGTTTTCTTGTTCTTGAAGGAGCCGGTCCCGTTGTTATCTTTCTCGTATCTTTTTCTTCCGGGTTTTTCTCTATTTTTTGAAAAACATAAAGCGAAGAGCCAAAAGTAAAAATTAAAAAACAAATTCTGAAATTCTAAAATACGAGAATAATGAGAATTCAAGAATTTTAAGGAATGAAAAAATTCAAGAGCCAAAAGAAAATTTAGAATCAAGAATAAAGAAATAAGGAAAATCAAGAGCCTGGAATAGGAAAAATTATAAAAATTCAAGAATTTGAATTGAAAGAGAAACATTTTCTTGCTAATATTTTCTTATTATTAGATACCGTTGATGATGTTATTATAACTCATTGTATAACTTCCAAGTTTCGTCTATTCCAGGCGCTAGGCTTTCTGAAATAATTCTCAGGTTCTTGAATTGTTCTGAAGCCTTCCAAAATACTACTGGGAAAGTGTTTTGGAACGTTCTAAATGACTTATTAAAGCTCTAACTGAAGTGTTCGAACTTGGCTTGAAGAGTTCTGGAGCATTCTAGAAGTTTTTCAGTAATTTCTAAATTGTTCTGACAGATTTTTAAATATTTTACAGCTTTATTGAAGCTGAAACAGTTCTAAAATATTTCCTCTTCTTAATTGTTCCCTCTGAAGTTTCGTAATTTTTCCAAAATGCTCCTGAAACTTCTGATTTGGATTTGAACTATTGTGGATGCTTATTAAAGATCCAAAGTTCTACAGCAATCTAAATTCGCTCTTAAAAGCATTTTAAGAGGCGTTTTGTAATTTTCTTAACCTGAATCCTGGCGCTCTTCAAAATGTTTGAGTATTTCGGAGCGTCCTAAAATGGGTTTCAAACTTCGAAACTTCTGAATTGTTCTAAAATGCGTTTGGCAATTGTAAATCGGTTTTTGAATGTTTTGGGGCATTCTAAAATAGTTCTGAAACTTCTAAAATGTTCTGAAGCGCTAGAATATTTTTGGAAATTCGGAATTGAATTTTCAGTGTTTTAATCTCTCCAAAAGGCTTACTAAAGTTTTAAAGTGTTCTGTAGCATTCTAAATGGTTTCCAGTACCTTACTTCTAAATTCAATGAGAAACGAGTTATGAATTATGTGGGTAATTTTTGTAGACATCTTTAATGAGCAATTTTGATCTCATGAGCCTGTTATTCAAAAGTTCGGCGACTTGTTAGATCCAGAAATTGGGGTATTTCTATACTCCAATAAAGCAATTTCTAGACTATTACACTTTCGGAGCATATTCTTTGCTATTCGGACTGCCCTTTCTGCAAGCCCATTAGATCTCGGAAAGTAAAGACTTGACGTAATGAAATTGAAGTTCCAGTCTTTTGCAAACTCCCTACACTCAAACGAACTGAATAGCATATTATCTGCAACAACCTCTAGTGGTATTCCATGTGTGCAGAATCAGTAGCGTCCAAACACCAAACAGATTTTTTCTGTAATTCGCTTGTTCCTGCAAATAAATATACCAGATGCAAGTCGGCCCTATTTGCAGAACTGCAAATTTGCAGATGCAAATATACTGTAATTGGGCCCATAGTCGATTAATCGCTGCCACGTTGCAGGGGCGTTATGCAGGCCAAAGGGAAGCCTTTTAAACTGAAACAATCCTCTGTCCGGTACTGTGAAGGCAGTATATGGTCTAGAACTCTCAGCAGCAGGCTCTTGCCAATAAGATTATTCAATATCGAGACTGGACAGATATTTTACATCTTCGAATTTGTCCAGGGTGTCGCTGATCTGCGATAAGGGGTAGCCTTCCTTTCGCAAACGGCATTCAACTTGCGCTAATCAGCACAAAGGCGGAAAGAACCATACTTTTTCTTAACCATTACTACCGGCGACGACCAAGGACTCTTCGACGGTTCAATGACACCAAGCTTCAGCATCTCCTCAAGCTCTTTATCAATATGTTGTTGCATTACTGGAGATACACGATAGTAGCGTTGCTTGGTCTAGCTTTCGAGACAATAACGTGTTCGGCCTTACCAGTACAGCCCAAAGTACTTCCCATCAAGGAAAAATTGGTTTGAGCAGTTCGTCCAACTGTTTTGCCTCTTCTGGCGTCAAAACAGATCCTTCAGCTATGCCAATTGAGTTTACTTCCGGCAGATCAGAGAAGAATTATTTATTAGGCCTAAGATCCGGAACAATACCCATCGAGAGCCAAAAATCTGCCCCCAAAATCAACGTGTGAAGCAAATCTGGAATGACAACTGTCCTAATCAAACGAATCTTACTCCGAACTCTCATTGGAATTTCAGTCCCGATACTGTGGCAAGGCTGGCCATTCGCTACTCTGCAAGTAGGTGTTAAGGTTTTGTCGAGACGAAGATCTAGGTCCTTCACTAATGTTCAACCTGCACCACCAAGAATAGTGCGCGATGCTCCAGAGTCTAATACCCTTAGGATATCCTTTTCCAAAATGTCGACTCTAAGATAAGGTTACGATGAGCGTGCTCCAGGAAAAATTCTATCATGGGTTGGATATTGATCGTGGTTCTCGCGCTCACTATGAGCTTCCTGGCGTTTCCCGAGCGACAATTTCGACAAGTGTTGACGGAAGTAGTAGTTCGGTTTCAAAGCACAACCAACTCACCTATCGTATCCCGTATCGTATCGTGGTTGAAACTCTTCTTGAAGCAGGTTAACCAGCTCATCCCAAGTACCGACCTCGCCCCGATAAGCCAAATAGAATTGGTAGGTCTTTCCTGTAAACAAATCGATGCCAGATTCAAGAAGAACATTTTTAGGGACATGCCTTGCTATACGAAGTTCTTCGTATTTCTCTAGGAAAGCACTAAGTAAGAGTCCCTTCTTGACAACTGAGAACTTGAGATCCCATTTACTTAAGAAAACTGATCGAACTTGTGGCCTAACCGTCTGCAATACCGAGGAGTTAACTGCATTTCTCAGATTCGCATTAAAGCTGGGTTCACTATCTTCGCTGGTGGCGTCTACTTCAAGCCTCTGTGCTTGTGAATCAATGAAATGTTGAGGCGCGTCAGAAACTTATCAGGGCTGTGATATAACGTATAGAAATCGTTATCCCTATCGCTATGGCACTTGCTGTCTTCTTCTCCCTTTTCGAAATCAATAAAGAGCGGACATCAATAGCGATAGAGAAAATCTCTCTATCCGTTACAGAGTCCCAGCCCAGACAGCCTACCTCTCTCAAACAACCTTGATTCAAACCATGTTATTTTCTACAATGGCGAGTGATGGCAAATACTGAAACCATGGTTATTATCAAGGATTGACAACACATGCATAAGATGGTCCACTTTTCACAATGTGTCATATGCAAAAATATTGTCATTGTCGTGTTTTTGTCTTTCCCCTATTCACGATGTTTTTGACAGTTCAAACTAATGACGTCACAAAAGTCTTACCATAGGCATCTATGCAAGTTACCATAGGAATCTATGAAAGTGGGCTACCCATTCTACCATGAGTATTTCCCTCCTCCTGTCAATTTTGATATTGTAGAAAATCACTTGGTTTGAATCATCTAATTATGTTTCATGGTGACATTTCATAGCTATTCAATGGCTTTTCGGGTTGGTAGAATGAGTGCAAAGAAAATTTATTTTTGTTTCTTTAACAGGCTGAGAGAAAGAAAAATCGACCAATCGGAAACGCCATTGGACAAATATCCCAAAATAATCCAATTCTAACAGAAACTTGCTTGTATTTCAGAAACCTTACTATTTAGGTATAGAGTTCAGATTCAAAAGCTTCAATAACAGACTTAGAATTTTTATTTTCCAAATGAATCACCTCTAACCATTTTGACAAATAATCGATAATGACTAAATAGGTTTGACCAGCAAAATCCCTAATATCACTTGCTAATCTTTGAAATGGTAAGTCAGGCAAATCTCTTAAGATCAAAGGCTCCCTTGTATAATTTTTTTTGCAGCCTTTCACAGCTAACACACTTCTGTATAAATGTTTTAATATCTGTATTGATATTTGGCCAGTACAATATTGTTTTGGCTCTTTGCTGTGTTTGTGTTATTCCATAATGGTTTTCATGCAGTTGTGCCAACATCTTTGGTCTTAAAGATTTTGGTATTATTATACGTTCACCATAAAAAATCAGATTATCAAGGAAGTAAATCTCATTTCTACTATTCTAATATTTTTTAAGCAAATCAGGAACTTCTGTTATATCTGTAGGCCAACCTATCAAGCACATGTCTTTCAATCTTCTTAATTCAACATCTTCTTCAGTTTCATTTTGAAAGTCTGCCAACCTTTCGTCAGTCACATTTATAGAGTGGACTATTTCTGTTAAAACCTTGTCATCCTTGGGTACATCTTTGATAAAATTCCTCGAGAGCGAATCTGCAATCAGCATCTCCTTACCTGGTTTGTATTGAACAATGAACATCTATATCATATTTGAGTAGCTTGACTTTCATTCTTTGTAATCTAGGGAAACTTACCTCAGCAACGCCTTTCTTCATTATAGATGTTAGTTTATGATCTGTATAAACAAGAACATGTCTACCCTATATGTACCTAGTTATGAAACTTTGTGCATGAAAAAAGGAGAGCATTTAATTCTTTTTCTATTTGACTGAACCTTGCCTCACAGTCACTGCACGAGAAGCAAAAGCAACGGGTTTGTGATTTTATAAGAGAACACAACCAACACCATTTTTACTGTATGACTATAGGTTCGTTTTCGTCAAAGTTAGCTAACACTTGAGAAGAGCTGATTAGTTTTTTGATTAAATTAAACGAATCTGAATGAGTCTTTATCCATAGAAATATAGATTATTTTTTTTAAGTAAACCGCGCAATGGAGTTGAGATAGCTGACAAATTTGGTATGTAATTTCTAAGATAATTAATTATACCCAACATACATTGTAATTCTTTTTTGTTTTTGGGCTCATCAAACGACAAAATTGCTTAAATTTTTTCCTCATCCAGTCGCATACCATATTTGTCAAATATGATACCTGAATATACAACTTCTCGTAATCTGTATTGAATTTTATTTTTATTAAATTTAACACCATTTCTAGCTCTCTCTAGAACTTCACTCAAAATTTTCTCATGAAGTTCCAAACTATCAGCTGCTATAAGTAAGTCGTCAAAGTAAACTATTACTCCAGAAATGTCGCCAAAATTATCAATAGTAATATAACTAGTAAAATGGAAATTATTGATAATTTTTGGGAAATTTGCCCGAATGCCCGTAGTGCACGAGTGCCTTTTTCAGTTAAAAACGCATGAGTGCAAATTTGTCGAAAATTATAAATATATTTCCATTGCACGAGTTGTATTTAATGAGAGAATATCATAAATCAAAAATTTAAATTTTTTGTCAAAAAATGTCAAAACACCAGTTTTCGCACCAGTTAGTATGCATTTATCTGATTATACAACTCACTGTACATTATTCCCATATGACACGAGAGGCTTAATAAGTGATAAGCCTTTTGGGATTATCGCGCTTGGTGGCAATATTGTTCATTTGCCAATAAAAATTTATAAAGTATTGAAGTTTAGCTCGTTGTATAACCTTCTGAATACCACTCGATGTTTCAGGATTACCTAATACTTTTACCTGACACTCAACGCGTTACCAGCAACACCACTCTTCCTTCGGAGTCGTGGTGTTGCTGCGTAACGCGTTTCGTGACAGCTAAAAGTATTATCCGGTAATTCGGAAACCTCTTGTGGTATTACATTCGATAATTTGCACTAGTGCAAATTATCGCGTAATTACAATCTGATTGGTTCAAATCAATAATCAAAACATGTCAATTTATTGATGGAATACCAGTTTTGACAGATGTATGAAATTCTCATTATTTATTTGTTGAAAAAACTCTGGGGCAAAATTAAGCCCAAACGTCAAGCGTAAAAATCCATAGGCTCCAAAAGGAGTTCCAGAAGAGCAAAGCTTACTTGAATACTCATGAAGCTCAACTTGGTAAAACCCCTCTTTGAAATTCAAAACTATGTGTAATATGGTTTATTTTTTAATTTAGTACTTATATCAGCTAATGTTGGTATTTCCACGATGAACCAAATTGTTCAAATGTTCTTTTAACCGATCTTTAAGTGAAAAAGGAACTCTCCTAGGTGACCTAGCAATGGGTTCAGAACCATTTTTTAATTTCAGTTTACATATTTTTTGAAATTGGCCTAGACCATCGAATACACCCATGTTGTGTTTTACGAATTCTGTTTTACTTTTGTTCAAATCAACCATATTTACTTTTGCAAAAATATTTAAATCCATACAAGATTTTAATCCAAGAATGGATTTTTCTTCGTCAATTACAAATTTAGGGTTAAAATTATTATCATTATATTTACAATCCAAATCAACTACACCTAAAGGTGAAATTTTAAGCCCACCATATGTTTCTAAAACTATTTTTGATTTACAGAGAGAAAACTGTTTATTTTTAATTTTTTGTAAAACATTCAAAGGAATAATGTTTACCTGTGATCCTGTGTCAATCTTAAAAACAACATTCTGGCTATCTATTATCACGTACCTTTTCCGACCATTCATTTCTATCCGTGATTTCATTCACCATTATCGTTGTCACTAAGTACCCTTCATCCTCTTTGTCTTTTTCATCTTCTGACTCGTTCTCTTTTTCAACAACTATTCTCACATACTGTCCATATCGACTACGACACATCTTTTCAAAATGTCCAAATTTTTTACATTATATTTCTTGTCAAAAGCAAGATACTTTCTGGGACCATGTTTAAAACCACAGCTTCCACAATCGAACGAGTTCTGCTTTTGATCACTTCGGCCTCCAGCGGTTCCAGCACTAGGTCTACCTCTACTATCTCGTTGTTTCACAATTCTTTGACTTCTAATCGCCTCTACCTTCTTCTCTTGATTTTGAACATTTTTCAGTTGAGCTTTTGCCAGCTCATTAGCTCGACACTTGTCAATGGTCTTTCCCAAAGTTAAATTTTCGGAATACAATAATCTTTCTTGTAATTCTGAGCTGCGTATACCAAATACAGTTCTATCTTTTATCATAGAGTCAAAAGAAGGCATCAAAATCACAGGGTCTTAGAAAGTTTCGTAAGCTCTGTTAAAAAATGATCAAACGGTTCAGCCTCTTCCTGTTTCCGATTATAGAATGAGAAGCTTTCATACACAACATTCGTTTTAGGGGTCATGTATTTCTCAAACTCCGACAATACTTTTTCAAAGTCATTTTTATCAGCTTCATTCAATTTTAAAGTATTGTACACCTCCAGGCCTTCTTCTCCCATAAGATTAAACAACAAAGCTATTTTCACTTTATCTTCTTTCTTACTTTTGCCACTAGCAAGAAAATATATTCCAAAGGACTGTTTAAACTTGCGGAAATTTTCTTCCACATTACCTTCAAACGATAAGAGCTTTGGAAGTCGTACATCAGACATTTTAGGTTTTGTTTAGATACTTATTTACTTAGGTATTAAAAAAAAAGGATTATTTACCCACAAAAGGATATAGTGCATGCCCTCCAAGTCCACAACGACTGTGCCATGTATATCAAACAAAATCGGTTCTTGAGTTTTTGATTAACTCCATCGTTTATTGATTATTCTGTGACATTCGATTATTAATTAACTTGTGGCTTTTTCCATTGTGTCTATTGTTAGGTGTGACCTAAGATGTCCACGAACGAGATTCAAGACATCTTTAAGGCGTCTCAAAGACATCTTGAAGACGCCGTATGTTTCAAAAGCCAAAGTCTTTCAGACGTCAGTGATTTTCTTCTCAATACCTACAAATTCTGTTTATGAGTTTGCACCGATCAACTAGATTTCATGGAATTTGAGCCTCCGAGTGAGGAGTTCATATTACTTCATATTTCTCGCTCAGAAATTGACGTTACCTACCCCCTATTAAAAGTGTCCAAAGTGGACCACCCTGTACTGACAACTCTCCTCTGAAGTCTCAGTCCCATTTCTATTTATTTTCTACCAGAAAGTTATCAGAGTTAGAGATCGACTGTGCCATATATTTTAATCAAAACCAACTAAGATATTTATTGATTGAATGATTTTTATTATTTTAGGCTTGCATGGCCCTATCAGCCATCTACCATACATTTTGCTGTAGATCAGAAGAGGATTGTCAATATTTTTTAACCTACGATCTCTTTGGAATCGCTCTATCGCTCTATGGCATTTATGTGTCTGGAATTTATTACGCCTTTTGGTGCGATCAGGTAATTTTATGATTCTTGCCATTCTGGCGACCGCCAATACAATACTTTTCTCAATATTTTCAGTTTCTACAAAACTTCTACTTGGTCACCGTAACAGTAATTTTCATAGTTGCAATGGTCATGCAAATACCAAGCCTTGGAATTAACGATAATGTGAAAATTTTAACGTTCGTATCTTGGGCCGCCTATGGAGTAATACCCACATTCCATTGGGGTACCAAAATGGGATGGTTCGAAAGTCCTGTTGTCGCAGTAAGTACCTTATTTAATTTTTGTTCCCATGAAAATATGGATTTAGAATAATAGGTATATGACTCTAGTGAGCTTTTGTTTTAAAAAAATAGATGGCGCCTCTCATCTCACACACATACAAAATAAGTGCGTTCACACTCTTATTAATCTATTTCAGCTTCTTCTACCAAGAGTATTGGGAATGTACCTCATAAGTGGAATAGCTTTCCTAATCTACATCACGAAAATTCCAGAAAGGTGGGCGGCCGGAAAGTTCGACTTTGTGGGCCATTCTCACCAGTGGTGGCACTTTTTTGTGGTCGGTGCCCTTTATTACTGGCATAACACTGGTATGATATATGTGGATTATAGATTGAACCATGCTTGCGCTAACAGCATGAGAATATTGTAGTAATTTAGCATTTTGTAGTTTAATAAGTCCTTCTTGCCAATATTGCATCATTTTCCTTTTTAGTAATTTTGTGTTATATACAAGATATTGTATTATTATTTATATATGTGCAAATTTCAATTGTTGGGGATTTAAGGTTTTTGTTAAATGTTAACCACCCTGTGATAGTTTGTTAATTATTATATTCCTATACAGGGTGTATATTTTAAGTGATACCACTATTGCTATATCCGAAACGGTCAAAGCTACAAGGTCGGTTAAATTAGAAAAAAGTTGCCTTTTTTGATGTCCATTCAAGACTCGTTTACAGTGTTGCCAAATTCCTTTTAGTTTATGAAATACAAGGTGATTTCTAAAAAACGCCCAAAAATATTCTATCAAATATTTCGAAAACTATTTATTTTCGGGACACAATTTAAATTTGAAAGTTTTATAATTTTTTTCGCTCTACAACAGGGCATCTTCAAATTTCGAATCCGACGTTTCGTGGTTAAGCTCCCATTATCAACTTCATTTTTTTAAATACGGACCTGGATTTTTTATGACATTTTAAGAAAGCACCTTCTATTCTTTTTTCAACGATATACCTCTTAAGTATTATTGGTCGACGTTTCTGATCTAAAAAGTGATCATCAGTGATTTTTACCAAAATTTTACCTTAATTCGGACCTAGTTATGAACCTGTATTTCAGAAACTGAAAGGAATTTGGCAACACTGTAAAGGAATCTTAAATGGGCATCAAAAAAGACGACTTTTTTCTAATTTGACCAACCTTGTAGCTTTTACCGTTTCGGATATAGCAATAGTGGTATCACTTAAAATATACACCCTGTATATACCCTAATGTTTAGTGTTATTATATTAACCATTAATTTTGTATTTGTTTGTTATTTATTATGCAATATGACTGTCCAAATTAAATTAAATAAAAGTAAAAGTGATTTAATTTTTTTTCAAAAACCTAAAATTAAATGAGGCAAAAGACAATAGGCAATTTGCCGACATAGTTTCCATTTTATTCAATCCCAAGAGGGAAAAAAAATCCCAAGTCATTTAAAAAAAGAAAAAAGGAGATTAATTAGGGACCGACTTCCCAGTATTTCCACGCGACTTTATAAGTGAAAAAGGAAATAACTGAAGGCTTTTCTTCCGGGGGATCCTTATGTTCATTGCTTGCAGGAGCGGACCGAAACGGGCCAAAACTCGTTAAGGGCGGATTAGGCCGGTTTACGTTTAAAATGGCACCGCGTTTTCCAGTCAGTCACTCACACGCTTCTGCTTTTAACTAATTAAATAGTTTAAACGGACCTTAAGAGGCGCTGGTAGATGTGTTTAAGATGAAAAATACGACCCTCGCCCTCAAAGCTTCTATAACTACCTAATTTCTTAACAGTGACTTAAGTTTAATTACCCATTTACTTTAATTTGTTTGTTTCACAATAAAATAATTCACCGTCACCTAATTTTGTCTCAGAGTCATGTGTCGATTATAAATCTTTCTTGTTCCTGATATCAGTATCGATTACTTGGCCCATTTGTTTCCCGCGAAGCGCAAAAGATAAATCTTTCGTTTCTATTGACTTCAGACACTCGCAAACGGTTAATGTATTGCTTATAGGTTAAACCCGAATAAGTATGTGACGCAGGAAAAGCTAGAAGCTAGATATATAGCTTTGGGATTGCTATTTTAACAGTTGGAGCGCCGAGGAGCTGATCCATGATGACGTTTACATCTATCTGAGGCATTCAATTTATCAATTTAGTGAACTTAGGAAGGGAAATATATGGATGATGAAAATCTGTAAATAAGGAGTTTGAGCCAGAAAAAATTTGAGGTGGGCAAAAAGCTGCGTGGGGCCATCTTGAAAGGTACCTAAGTCCTTGGTATCGCCTTTGAACAATTTTCTCCACGATTTGTGGTTTTCCAGGAACATTGTAGAATTTTGTTGCATTGTTCAATGTATTATTTTTCTTTCCTTATTCACTGTATCATTTGATCCTGTTGGTCATCATATTTGGACTATTTCTATAAAATGACAATATAAATATGAAGAATATGCGAAGGATTTTTATATTTGTACTCAAGGTCGTTTAATGCAGGATCATCTAACGAGACTCAAAATACGGATACAAAAATAAAAGAAAAACAAGATAATATAGAAGAAAAAATTTCAACTAATAATTGTGCTGGATTCAGATATAAATTTCAGGGATGCAAAATTTATGAAAAATGGTTTTGCCTTGTTTAAAATTATCACAGAAAGATCTGAATGAAATAAAAAGAATGAAAATTGATTTGTTTGTCAGAAATGTATTACGAAAAAAAAAATATATATAGATATTGATTTTTATAGTCTACAAGAAGTAAACAAACAGTTAAAAAACATTATTGTAGAACTGAAAAATACAAATAAAAATTTGATTAAAAAAAATAAATATACCAGAAAAAAATGAAAACATCTACTTAGCAAATAAAATAGAAGAAAAAGTTGATAAAATATTGAAAGAACTAGAAATAAATCAAAAAAATCCAAATATATCATGAGTGAATGTAGTACAAATACCCAGAAAAACGAACAATCAAGTAAGAAACTATCCACGTTTATTCATAAGACCAAAAGTGAACCAATCATTTTAAAAAACCAAAATTTTTCTTCAAAAATTAGTAATTAAGTAACAACTTCAAAAATTAAAAATTAAGTAACAACTTTACATATAATATGTCAAATACCTGGATTAATTAAAGAACCCAAAATTAGTAATGTTGGGATGCACAGTGAAATTTAATGGAGATAAATTGAAAGAAACTTTGGAACAACTTCAGCTATTAGATTTAAATGACAAATTCGAAGTGAAATATGTAAGAAAGTCCAAGTATTCAAACAAATTCATTTATATCATTGAAACTGTAGGAAAAACGTTTTTAAAATTTAACAATAAAGCAATATCATTGAACTGGAAGCATTGCTATTTTAATAAACAATATAGTGCCTCTTTCAAATTTGCTTCTTTCTTCACGGTCTCCTGGTGAACTAAAGTATTGTGTCTTCCATTGCAACCTTCAAGTTTGCATACGGTTTTTGAATGACATTTTTTTGTGGCATGTCCTTCGCCTAGGCATTTGTAGCAGCGGCGATTTTTTTCCAAAAATTCTCGTCTCTCTTGAACATTTTTTTCTTAAAACAGTTTGCACCCGTATAACTTGTGAAAGTTACCATTACATAGCTTGCAAACTTTTTCATTTGATGACGTTTCTTTAATATTATATAATTTCGCCTTTTCCGGTGCCCCTTTTGGACCATGTTCTCTCGAATACTTTCGAGATAGACCACTAACAGCCATTAAAGTATTTACTTCGGATTTTAACCAATTTGAAAAATCTTCAAAAGTTACCACGCCAGTTTTTTGTTTGAAAACTTTATGTTCTGCCCATATTCTTATGGTACGTCTTGAAATTTTATTTTTCAATTGATAAAATATTCTGGATATCTGGAACATCCATTATTTTTCATCAAAACAATCATATTCGATACACATGACGAAAAATGCAAAAAACTTTCAATTGAGTCTTCTCTAGGACTAGGACATTTTCTTACTTTATCCATCTGATTCATAATGATCCAGTCTTCTCTTCCAAAATTCATTTTTAACGTTCCATTTATGGCTGTTACATTACTTGGACTGCAAAATAAGTCTCTCACTACCTTTCTTGCTTTACCTTTGAGACATTTCTGTAAGCTAATTAAATTATCATTTTCAGAATAATGCCTATCTTTAGTGGAGCGATTGAATTCAGCATGCCATAGAGGACATTCATTAATATTGCCATAAAAATCAGGTAAATCTAATGGTTGGTGTTTCAAAGCCAACGCTGTCAAATTTTTATCTAAATCTTGCATGCATTTAATGATAGATTTTGACTTCCAGGATCTTTCACTTCTAAGCATCTTTTTTTGACCTCCATGTTCATTTCGTTCCTCTATGTTACTTTCCATTCCATTTATCTTTGCGTTATGTTCTTTGGTATTTTCTATAAGTAAATTTTCTTACTTTTTAAGCCCGTCAGCTTCTTTCGGATTTCTCATAAATAAAACACTTTGGTTCTCAGGTTCATCACACTCTCGATCTAACATTCCTCACAAATCAAAACATAATACTGTGTCCTTTTAATTAAAAATTGTGAGTCCTTTGTTCTTGTTCTAAAATTTTAATTTTTCACACTATATTGAATACTGTAGAGTTTTGGGTTAGTTAGCCAATTTCACCAGCAGGTACTGAGGTCCCATACGGGATGATACTCAGCTATAGTTCTTATTTTGAGCCAATATCTCTTTGCTGTGTTTGCTAGGATATTCGCTCGTCAGGATAGGAAAATGTTAGTATATAGTGAGCACCCCCTACGTTTTCGCTAAAAATTTTTTTTTTTCAAAAAATCAAGATAGCCATTTGGTGTATTTTTTTTCTCAGAATTTGAAAACGTTTTTCGAAATTCAATTAAATTTTTTGTTGAGGCGCTGTGACCAAAAAAGTATTTTTTTTTAAATGGAATAACCTATATTTAAATCAATTTCTCAAACGCCCCTATTTTTCTCATTCCAAATATATAGTTCGTTTATCTTTATTTTAGTAAATTGCGATATATTCTCACTTTAAAATTTACATAAAAATAGCCAAAAAGATATCATCAACGCTAAAACATAATAACCAGAAGTTTTATTAAAGATGAATTTAATTAGATTTACCTTGATACCTTATTTGCGGCTATTTTTATTTGAATCTTGAGTGAGAATATATCGAAAATTACTAAAATAAAGATAAACAAACTATACATATATATTTGAAATAAGAAAAATAGTGGCGTTTAAAAAATGGATTTAAATATAGGTTATTCCATTTAAAAAAATTACTTTTTTGGCGCAGCGCTTCAACGAAAAATCTAAATAAATTTCGAAAAACGTTGTCAAATTCCTAGATAAAAAATACACCAAATGGCTATCTTGATTTTTTTTAAAAAAAATTTTTAACGGAAAGGTAGGGAGTGTTCATTTTATACTGGATTACCCAATCTCAGCACAAAAGACAACACATAATTTCTTAGGTTTTAATTTACTCTTTATCTACGTTGTTTACAGCATGCGAATAGTATATTATTTAACGATCGTTTAATGTAGGCTATATTACACGAGCCGCAGGCGAGTGTAATATAGCCATTATATGCGAGTCAAATACTATGCTTTATCTACGACTACTCATTTTATTGAGAAACTAGAGTTAATAATTTGCAGATTTGAAGGAAATGAGTTGGTGCCATTCTTTAGTCGCCAGTCTACAAAGATGTTGTTTACAATTTTGTAATTTTTCCTAGATTTCTCTGGAAGTAATGCTAGAGATGATACTTGTGCGGCTGCACAAATTTCTGGAGAGGTCCATGGAATTTTGTTTTCACTGTCGGAATGCATGCGAAATACCCGTTAAACACAATAACTTAAACTCAGCTGAAAGCTGCAAAGTATCTTTTGTCAAAATCAAATATTTTAGTTGCCCTAGTAACAACAATCCAAAAAAGCTCGATTCTATTTTGGAACGCTGTCAATGCTGTCATGTTATGGAACACGTATAAAAATGTACCTATATTCCACGGGTGTGGAATATGAGATTCATATTCCACAGGTGTGTAATATGAGCTACATTATGTGGTTCTTATCACAACCAAAATACGTCTATTATTAAATAGTCGTAGATAAACGATTTTTTTTTATTACATGAACAATGCACATGTTATAAAAAATTTCATCAACAACCAAAAAAACATAAAAATGAAAAAATAATACTTGTAAAGTTTGTTTCGCCAGGGTTTGTACTTGCCATTAGCATGCCTTCCTTGTTTAACAAATAAAAATTAACTGAAACAAATCAATGAAGTCAAAAACGTCCGTCGGTTCTTAAACCAGAAGTCATTCATTTTAATTTGTCAAAAAAAATTGAATGTGTCATATGAATTAATCTACGACAACCCTTTTTTTTCAAGTTTCAAGGTCAACTATGAACCCTGGTGAAACGAACCTTGAAAATAATTTAACTCTCAAAAACAGAATAAAAATTATTCAACTGACCTGTGAATGCTCCTTGACACACAAACTAATCACAAATTGAATTGAACAATCAGTTTACAAAATAAAAATTGAATAATGAGTGTATTTTTATAATGTACGGCTTATACTGAACTTTATCAAACAATGTCAAACTAACCCAAATTAACCCTAAACTTCACAGCGCAGACATGGCTGCAACATTTACCTATTTTTTTCTATAGAATACGTTTTCTAAAAAGTTAAGATTCGAAGAAATAATATTTCAAATAGGTGGTTTTCCTCAAATAACATTTCAAAAATTTCTCAGCACTTATTAATGTAAACAAAAATCCAATCTGATATAAGACTTCTCGACCATGTTAGAAATAGTTGAGCTAAATTAAGCGCGAAAGTCTTTTGCTTGCATAATTGGAAACAACGACTCGTGTGGGTCTTAAAGGATAACGGAGACGGCGCGTCGCGACGTCTTCGTTCACCCATGTCACCCACCCACCCGACGCTTTCCCCCCTTTTCGGCGGTTGATTTATGAAAATTTCTGAGAGGAGTGATGTGAATTTTCATGGCAGAGAAGACGCGAATCGTCTTATGATTAATTATGGGCCGTCCCTTTGACGGTTGGTGGAACTTGCAAATGCCGGAACGGTGTTTTGTTCATTCAAAATTTAAGATAAATTGGTCTTCTAGGAAAAAATCACTTTGACATATAAGATTGGATGGTTGAAGTATATTTTTTATAATGTACGGCTTATACTGAACTTTATCAAACAATGTCAAACTAACCCAATACGATTCTCAAAAGTTACCTCAAATAAATCCCCCAATAAACCCAACAACAACCTTGTGCAAATTAATATTTACCTTTATGTCTCGAATAAATTTCGGGTCAGATAATGCCGCGGATCCAACGGCGGTCTCTGGGTATAATATGAAAGAGGAAAATGATAAATAAAAAGCCCGGAAAACTAATCTCAATAAAGTCAAAACAACAGAAGGTGGCTGTAAAGATACGTCGCGAACATTGGCCGGTGGCACATGAGCCCATAAAAAAGAATTATGAAGGAAGGCCCAGATCCAGCAAATCCAGTTGGAGTTGGCGGCACAAGTTGGGGATCAATGGCTCAAGACTCGACGCCATACTTCTTGCCGTGTTTTGTTGGACAGAATTTCTTGATTTTTGAATTTTCTTTTTTCTTACTTATACAGTTATTAGAAAGAATCTTTGCTTGAAGTAGGTAGGTACTTATTAATATCTAAAGAAAATTTGATGTACTTTTTCTTCTTATAATTTGCCAAAATACTGTGTAGAAACTTGAATTCACGTTCACAAAGTAATTTACAAAATATCTAGATTGCTTCGAAGACATTTCAATTATATCGAGGCAACAAAGCAGAAACCGTGAATATTCAGCCACAATGAAGAGAAATATAATCATGAAACTGGTGAATTTTTCCAGTTTACATGCTACAAGATGGAATTATGAAAAAATACAGAAAGAGGCTATTTTCAACATTGGAGAATATATTTAACTTATCTCTAAAGAAGACTAGAAAAATGGGATAATATAGCTTCGCTTTTTAAAAAAGGTAACAGGACTGACATCCATTTCCTCTCCTACTTATTTGAATACAAAAGGAATTCTTGAAAATCATCATCAATCGCTTATCATTCAGAGTAGACAGCTACCAAACCATTGTTGGGATCCCTCACCAGTTTTAGCATTTCTGACCATCTCCTTACCATAAAAATTCTCATAGAAGGAGCCAAAGAATATTGTTTGAAGGGGAAGATGGTGTTCTTCTCACTTTCGTGCAGAATGGAAAGCAGTGCCGGCTCGAAGTAACTTTTAGGATGGAGCGAGATCTGACTTTGGCGCCCCTAATCAAGTAAATGCGAATCGTATCCTCCGATCAGATCTGTTCCAAGTACCAGGAAAAAGTATCAAGTAAAGTCTGTTTTTTTTTTTTAAAGATAAAAGTCAAAATGACATTATGTTGGCAATACAATGTAAAATTGTCAATGCTTTCAAACTTTTTATGTAGAAAAGGCTTGTGTTGCCAACATAGATACTAAATTTTTGACTTGGGAAATTATCTTTAAATAAAAAACAAACTTTACAAGTTTCTTTTTTAATACGAATCAAGTACCAGTACAAGTGTAAGTACAAAAGGAAATACCTAAAATGTCAAGTAAATTGACTTGAATTGCCCAAAGGATAACGCACACATAACATGGGATTTTTGGGCTCTATGGATTTTGCCCATTTTTTGATATGTTGTAGAGGATTCAATTCTTATTAACAACCTTTAAATGGGACGAAATCTTGTAGGTATTACGGACTTCGAGATATGAGCGTTGAAAGATGAACTTTTTTGCGACTTTTTGTGTGGAGAGTATACGAAAAACTGGTGCATAACTACACCTTTTCCATAAGTATTTCAGAATGTATCACTTGTATTTCAGATTCATCAATTCTAGTTCAGAATGCGTCAATTGTATTTCAGTTGTGTCAGTTCAATGTCAGAAAGTGTTATTTGTATTTCAACTTTGTCAGTTGTAGTTTAGAAAACATCATTTGTGTTTCAGATTCGTCAGGTGTATTTCAGAAAAAGTCATTTGTATTTCAGTTTGGTCACTTGTATTTCAGAAATCGTCATTTGTGTTTCAGATTATTTATTTGTAGATCAGAAATTGTAAATTGTATTTCAGAATTCGTCAAATGTATTTCAGATATTATTCAGGCCTATGATGTATCATTTTCTGTTATTTTAACAGCAACGTTAAGTTATCTGTCACTGTTTATTCTATGCATCAAAATAAAGACAGAAATAGATGTTGAGTCTTAACACAACCGTTAAAATAACAGGACAGGATACATCATAGGCCTGATTATCAATGTGGTGT